AAAAAGTCAAGGGGTCTGAATACTTTTCGAATGCACTGTATATAGAGAGAGACCTGCTGGTTGTTATCAGGTGAGATAGATGAAGGGCAGAGAGGGTTGTGTAATGTGTAATAGACCTAAAGAGGAGAGTGGAGGTGGAGCCTGGCACTGAGTGTTAAAAACAAACCATGATTGTGAAACGCTCACAGTCCGAGCAAACACATTCAGACCACACATAGACAAACACACAGACATGCAGTTGAAGTTGGAAGTTTATATACACTTAGGTTGGAGTCATTAAAACTAGTTTTTCAACCACTCCACAAATGTGTTAACTTGTTAACAAACTATAGTTTTGGCAAGTCGGTTAGGACATCTACTTTGTGCATGACACAAGTAATTTTTACAACAATTGCTTACAGACAGATTATTTCACTTATAATTCACAGTATCACAATTCCAGTGGGTCAGAAGTGTCCATTCACTAACTTGACTGTGCCTTTAAACAGCTTGGAAAATTCCAGACAATAATGTCATGGCTTTAGAAGCTTCTGATAGGCTAATTGACATCATTTTAGTCAATTGGAGGTGTACCTGTGGATGTATTTCAAGGCCTACCTTCAAACTCAGTGCCTCTTTGCTTGACATCATGGGAAAATCAAAAGAAATCAGGCAAGACCTCAGAAAAAAAAGTGTAGACCTCCACAAGTCTGGTTCATTCTTGGGAGCAATTTCCAAACGCCTGAAGGTACCACGTTCATCTGTACAAACAATAGTACGCAAGTATAAACACCATGGGACCACGCAGCCGTCATACCACTCAGGAAGGAGACGCGTTCTGTCTCCTAGAGATGAACGTACTTTGGTGCGAAAAGTGCAAATAAATCCCAGAACAACAGCAAAGGACCTTGTGAAGATGCTGGAGGAAACAGGGACAAAAGTATCTATATCCACAGTAAAACAAGTCCTATATCGACATAACCTGAAAGGACGCTCAGCAAGGAAGAAGCAACTGCTCCAAAACCGCCATAAAAAAGCCAGACTACGGTTTGCAACTGCACATAGCGACAAAGATAGTACTTTTTGGAGAAATGTCTTCTGGTCTGATGAAACAAAAATATAACTGTTTGGAGGAAAAAGGGGGTCCTTGCAAGCTGAAGAACACCATCCCAACCGTGAAGCACGGGGGTGGCAGCATCATGCTGTGGGGGTGCTTTGCTGCAGGAGGGACTGGTGCACTTCACAAAATAGATGGCATCATGAGGAAGGAAAATTATGTGGATATATTGAAGCAACATCTCAAGACATCAGTCAGGAAGTTAAAGCTTGGTCACAAATGGGTCTTCCAAATGGACAATGACCCCAAGCATACTTCCAAAATTGTGGCAAAATGGCTTAAGGACAACAAAGTCAAGATATTGGAGTGGCCATCACAAAGCCCTGACCTCAACCCTATAGAAGATTTGTGGGCAGAACAGAAAAAAGCGTGTGCGAGCAAGGAAGCCTACAAACCTGACTAAGTTACACCAGCTCTGTCAGGAGGAATGGTCCAAAATTCACCCAACTTATTGTGAGAAGCTTGTGGAAGGCTACCCGAAACGTTTGACCCAAGTTAAACAATTGAAAGCCAATGCTACCAAATACTAATTTAGTGTATGTAAACTTCTGGCCCACTGGGAATGTGATGAAAGAAATAAAAGCTGAAATAAATCATTCTCTCTACTATTATTCTGACATTTCACATTCTTAAAATAAAGTGGTGATCCTAAATGACCTAAGACAGGGAATTTTCACTAGGATTAAATGTCAGGAATTTTGAAAACTGAGTTTAAATATATTTGGCTAAGGTGTATGTAAACTTCCGACTTCATCTGTATATGCCCTCCAAGAAAGGTCGGTGGACCAAGATTCAAAGGTCAGATTAGGAAGGAAGAGTACATCCCCCAATTATATAAAAAACACCATGCAAAAAACAACAACATGAAAGAACAGAAGAGTGCATACATACACACATAAACACATACACACAGCCACAGTAGCTTTACCACTACACACATGAAGTCAACATGAATGCAGTCACACACAATAGCACACCACAACATAACTCATGCACACAGACAGCCCCTCTGAGCAGAAAGCCTTGGCCCCCTCCAAGGCTGCTGCCTGGTCACACACAGTGGAAAATTCCTCCCACTCCAACTGAGCATGCTTAGAAAACCAGTCTGTTCCAGTCCTGCACCCTTCACTCAGATTCTGTACTATCCCTCCTGTACACGCTTAGAAAGAAATGTTCCAAAAGGGTTCTTTGGCTGTCCCCATAGGAGAACCCTTTTTGGTTCCAGTTAGAACCCTTTTTGTTTCCAGGTAGAATAACTATTTTGGGTTCCATGTAGAACCATCTGTGGAACGGGTTTTACATGGAACCCAAAAGGGTTCTACCTGGAACCAAAAAGGGTTCTTCAAAGGGATACTCCTATGGGGACAGCCGAATAACCGTTTTAGGTTCTAGATAGCACCTTTTTCTCTAAGAGTGTATTGTCATGCATCACAATCACCAGCTGGGGGATCTCACGTGACTACCAGGCAGGCACCAGCATGGGACTGTGTGTTGTAATGCTGCTTGGCATTTTGAAACATCTCATGATATCACAGTAATCCATGCCTGGCCTGTGACACCTTGTTACAGAAGCCTAATAAACAAACTTTGTTGATGTATTTAGCAATTCATAAAACTATTCTGAAAGAGGTCATATTTTCAAAAACAAAGTACACTCAGGTATGTTGTCTCCGTGTTGGACAGGTGCCCATGCAGATGCATAGTTCATATTGTTTAATGAAATAGAGAGTAGTAGCCTATAGCCAGCAGGCATCCACTGCAGGTTATTAATAGCTATAGGCACTGGGCAGTGCTTGACATGGGCAGGAGCTCACTGGAGCTGAGTACCAGCACCTAAAATGTTCTACTGCTTGAGCTCCTGCAGCACTTATAGAATATTAGCTCAAAAGTATTGTGGAGCTCCTGCACCTAAATTTAAACAGTACCAGCACCCAAAATTAGTTCCGGCACCTATTTCAGTCCAAGTCAAGCACTGGGCCACATTTACGATTCCTATCACGGGGTAAACTACACACTGAACAGACAAGACCGAGTTAGGATCAAGGGGAAGAGAGAATGCTTTATTAAATGATGGGGAAAATTGTGTTAATAAGTGTTATGCATCTACTAATATGAATCAACGCTCTGTGTCACCATATATGCGGTAGTGTCAATAATAAATAACTAGTACAGCTACACAATTTTTGTGGGCCTCCTGTAGCTCAGTTGGTAGAGCATGGTGCTTGCAACGCCAGGGTTGTGGGTTCGATTCCCAAGGGGGGCCAGTATGAAAAATGTATGCACTCACTAACTGTAAGTCGCTCTGGATAAGAGCGTCTGCTAAATGACTCAAATGTAAATGTACTATGGGAACTTGGGAAGAGTGGGAATAAAATTGCAGCATGTGGTGAAATTGCCAGCAGCACTCTTTGCTCTCATAAAGCAAAGGCTACACAGAGCACATATTCATATCCCGTTTCTCCCTCATGATTTGGGGAAAGAATACAACAACAATTGAAAGCAAGCTCACTCTGGACATTTCCCAAAGTTCAGGCTAAGCATATTGCCCAAGCCAAAATAAGGCATTATATGAAAACATTTAGAGGTAGCTCAACTGTTTAGGGAGCTGCATATAACTCAATTACAGTAGGCATGGCTACTCAGTCCCTACAGTCTTTTTTTTATACCTATTTGGTCACTGAAAATATATATTCTGTGTGACCTACTTGGATTCAGGTGATCTTGGGCAAAGTTTCATATGAGTGGTGTGATAAGGCAATAACACAGAGCATCATGCCCATGTTCATCAATGTTTGTTATGGCACAAAACCAGGGATGTAGCACTGTTGGTAGAGCATGGCATTTGCAACGCCAGGGTGGTGGGTTCGATTCCCACGGGTGGCCAGTATGAAAAATCTAAAAATAATCTATGCACTCACTAACTGTAAATCGCTCTGGATAAGAGCGTCTGCTAAATTACTAAAATGTAAATGAATTTCCGCAATGACAAATTTACATTTCTTTGATCAAAGGGTAGTTTAGGTCTACTTCTAGAGCAATGGTAGATACATGCTATTTTCTGTATCTGGGCAGGTTACTTTCATATAGGACCCATCATGGCAGAATTTATGTTTCTTTATACCTACTTAATAATGTGACTTTATTTAATTACAATTATTTTGCCATTGGTTTTGACTATAGATCCTTTGCATATATGCTCTAGTTAGCCTGTTATAGTATTACTTGCCATGTGCTCTTTTGGAGTAACCGCCTATAGATATAATGTAATATGCCATTTAGCAGACGCTTTTATCCAAAGCGATTTACAGTCATGCGTGCATACATTTTTGTGTATGGGTGGTCCCGGGAATCGAACCCACTACCTTGGCATTACAAGCGCCATGCTCTACCAGCTGAGCTACAGAGGACCACCAGCTAGAGGATATATGGATTCCTTTCACTAGATGCTTTCCGTTAACCTTAGCTGGTTAATCTGTAGGATAGCTAAGAATTGCATTTCTGTTTTTTTTAATGCCATTTAGAGTGCATTCAGTGAAGTACGGGTACTACAGCACTATAAACTGATTGAGGGCGGTGCCCTGGCTAATGTCACTCACCACGCCCACATTTCCCAAGCAGCCAGGAGCCACAATGTGGCGCAAGCTCCGTAGTAAACACGGGATACGACTGTTCATTCATACACAGCGAATGCTAACTGACAGACAGCAGACTCGAGAGTGAGAAAATCAACAAATCCGGAGAATCAAGCTTTTGACACCAAGAGAGCAAACCCCCACTTTTATCTGGATTTTTTTTTCCCTTTTCTTGAGGTTGTGTTTATTTTACTAGTTTATCACAGCTTCAGATCCGAAGAATGAGAGGGAATCTTTCCCTGAAGGAAGAGATTTCAGGGTATTATTCAATGATGCCTGTCTCGGACTTCCATGAAAAGGTTCCCTGTACGGTTGAGCCCGCGGAGAGTGTGTGTGGAGCGGGAGGACCTGTCACCTTCAGACCGCCGATGGGGAATAACTCTCTGGCGCAGGATGGAGGATGTGCGCAGGATATAGCTGAAGAGTTAAAGGGTAAAGTTGTCAGTTCATCTCACTTTTTCAAAAGTGACTTTAACAGATCTTGACTGTTAGATAATAATCTAAATATAATTGTATACTTAAAACAAAAATAAATGTATTGCCATAATGCTACACATTATTGTTATTACATTTACATTTACATTTTAGTCATTTAGCAGACGCTCTTATCCAGAGCGACTTACAGGTAAGTGAGTGCATACATGAGTGCATACATTATGCAATATCTCAAGGGTTCTTGTTTAACTTCATAGAGCACACAAGCATGGACACAGTCTCTGTGGGCTCTGGTCAGGTTCTTATCTCAGGCCTGTAAAACATGGGAGGTGATCAGTAGATACACTATATATACAAAAGTATGTGGACACCCCTTCAAATTAGTGGATTTGGCTATTTCAGCCACTCCCGTTGCTGACAGGTGTATAAAATCAAGCACACAGCCGTGTAATCGCCATAGACAAACATTGGCAGTAGAACGGCCTTACTGAAGAGCTCAGTGACTTTCAACGTGGCACCGTCATAGGATGCCACATTTACAACAAGTCAGTTCGTCAAATTTCTGCCCTGCTAGAGTTGCACCGGTCAACTGTAAGTGCTGTTATTGTGAAGTGGAAACGTCTAGGAGCAACAATGGCTCAGCCGCGAAGTGGTAGGCCACAGAAGCTCACAGAACGGGACCACCGAGTGTTGAACCGCGTAGCGCGTATAAATAGTTCCAAACTGCCTCTGGAAGCAACATCAGCACAAGAACTGTTAGTTGGGAGCTTCACTAAATGGGTTTCCATGGCTGAGCAGATGAACACAAGCCTAAGATCACCATGCGCAATGCCAAGCGTCGGCTGGAGTGGTGTAAAGCTCACCGCCATTGGACTCTGGTACAGTGGAAACGCATTCTCTGGAGTGATGAATCACGCTGGCAGTCCAATGGACGAATCTGGGTTTGGCAGATGCCAGGAGAACACTACCTGCCTGAATGCATAGTGCCAACTGTAAAGTTTGGTGGAGGAGGAATAATGGTCTGGGACTGTTTTTCATGGTTCGGGCTAGGCCCTTTACTTCCAGTGAAGGGAAATCTTAACACTACAGCATACAATGACATTCTAGACGATTCTGTGATTCCAACTTTGTGGCAACAGTTTAGGGAAGGCCCGTTCCTGTTTCAGCATGACAATGCCCCTGTGCACAAAGTGAAGTCCATACAGAAATGGTTTGTCGAGATCGGTGTGGATGAACTTGACTGGTCTGCACCGAGCCCTGACCTCAACCCCATCGAACACCTTTGGGATTAATTGGAATGCAGACTGCAAGCCAGGCGTAATCGCCCAACATCAGTGCCCAACCTCACTAATGCTCTTGTGGCTGAATGGAAGCAAGTCCCCGTAGAAATGTTTCAACATCTAGTGAAAAGCCTTCCCAGAAGAGTGGAGGCTGTTATAGCAGCAAAGGGGGGACCAACTCCATATTAATGCCTATGATTTTGGAATGAGATGTTCGACGAGCAGGTGTCCACATACTTTTGGTCATGTAGTGTAGCTGATCAATCAGCATTGATGATCTCGCTGATGAGAGCTTCCACACAACTATGGAGCATGGAAGCTTTTTTAGAGCCGCCCAGTTACCTCTCCCTCTCTAGCTGTACCTCTCCCTCTCTGGTTGTAAAGAGAAACAATTGGCATGCTGATTTTCTGGAAAAAGATGCAGCAGGATGAATGTATGGTTCAGTAAATGAACTGATTTATAATACAGCTTGGATCTTAGTAAATCTTGTGTCTTGTTGAAGCTCTTGAACCAAGCCAGTAACCTTTGTCTAACCTATAGGGATGAGTTGACATTCTATGGCTGCAGGATATTCATCTTCAGCTCAGTGTCACTATGGTGTAGCACAGTGAGATGTGTCAGGATTCAGGAATGAAGTGAGTTCATTGGAGAGAAGAACTGTATGTGCAAGACGTGATCAGATCTCATCTCAGGAGGAGGGGTTTCACTTACCCCCCACTTACCCCCAACCAATCCACTTATTAAAACGAGAACCAGATCAGGCTAGCTAATTCTACACCAAGCTACCAAACTACCAGTCATGCCCAATGCCTAGCCACTTTCTCAAATTCGAGCGTGAACCCTGACATAGGTTGGGTACCCCCCCCCTCCCTTCTCCATAACCAAACTCCAGCCCTCTTTTAGATCTCCCATCAGACATCTGTTCATGTTTCAGACTGTAGAGATTAAACATACATACTAGATTATTCTATTGCAACAAGGAAGTGTTTTGCTAGGTGAAAAAAACATCTACAAGAGAAGCAGAGGAGTTAACCTGATTTTAAAGGTTTCACAGGGTTCTTAACAAGAGATATTTGGCTGTATAGCTCTCAATATGTTCAATAATGCTGGGTAATTTACGGTACTTTCAATGATAACCATTTCCCAGCTCTTTGCTGTTTGCTGTAGAGGAGACAATAAGCAGGCTGAGATAAGTGTTGAGGCTGAGGACAAGGCCATCAAGGTAACCAAATTATTAAAGATTAGCTCAATAAACCATCGTAAAATTATGATTCCTGATATTCCCAGGAAAATCACATGCTCAGATCTTGTTTTCCCCTACTTTCCCAGTAAAAGTCTGTTTTCATCTAGAGCTGCAGCTCTAACAGAGATATTACAAGTGATTCATGAGGCTGTGCTTGAGATCTCAGTGAGTTAGATATGCCCGTGCCCATAGTTGGAGGTTGTAAGTAGCCTCACATTCCTATGGGGTGAAGCGCCCCGTAAAAGAGCCTGTTAGAGGCCCAGTCTGGCTTATCTCCCAGCAGTCAGAGACCATCCAGGGGGATCTCCAGGGGTGTGTGCGTGTGCGTGTGTGTGTGTGTGCTTAGATTTGTAGACCCTTTGCAGAGGGTCCTTGGCTGGAATCTGGGGCACCAGCAGAGTCACGGTTTTTCTTGCAGTATTTCCTGTTCTACATTAGAATGATACCTCAAACCTTTTCCTAAAACAGTATCTATGTCCCTATGCACATTAGGAAAGCCACCTGTCTTTTATCAGGAAGAGTAACAGAGAACATTTTACAAAAACACATTTACTTGAAGAACAGTGCAGATGCAAAGTTTGGTAACAGAATGACGGTTTGTGCTGTTTTGTGCCATCATTCTGTTACCAAACATTGCATCTGCACTGTTCTTCAAGTAAATGTGTTTTTGTAAAAATTCCTGTGGAAATTGTTAAAAGTAGTCCTTTTGCATAGAGTTGTGTGGTTTGTTTAACTTTGCAATCATTGGTTTTTGTATGACATACATTTTAAAATCTCAGCATCACTCTGTTAACGTGGACTTGCCCATAGTTCTTTATGAGTTCATGGTCATTCTGTAGAACAGAGCTGAATTTAACTGACATGCGTGGAGTGTTTGTGTGCAAAGCAATTAACGTGTATTGGAGGGTGACACTTATTAGTTGTGGCCAGTGGCTGAAATTCACACTGTAAACAAACAAGAAACAAGAAAATGCTCATCCAGAAGCGGCACTCCTAGTGGCCGGGGACTTTAGTGCAGGCAAACTTAAATCTGTTTTACCTCATTTCTACCAGCATGTCACATGTGCAACCAGAGGAGAAAAAACTCTAGACCACCTTTACTCCACACACAGAGACGCATACAAAGCTCTCCCTCGCCCTCCATTTGGCAAATCTGACCATAATTCCATCCTCCTGATTCCTGCTTACAAGCAAAACTAAAGCAGGAAGTACCAGTGACTCGCTCAATATGGAAGTGGTCAGATGACGCGGATGCTACGCTACAGGACTGTTTTGCTAGCACAGACTGGAATATGTTCCGTGATTCATCCAATGGCATTGAGGAGTATACCACCTCAGTCACCGGCTTCATAAATAAGTGCATTGACGACATCGTCCCCACAGTGACCATACGTACATATCCCAACCAGAAGCCATGGATTACAGGCAACATCCACACTGAGCTAAAGGCTAGAGCTGCCGCTTTCAAGGAGCGGGACGCTAATCCGGACGCTAATAAGAAATCCTGCTATGCCCTCAGACAAACCATCAAACGGGCAAAGCGTCAATACAGGACAAAGATTGAATCCTACTACACCGGCTCTGACGTTCGTCGGATGTGGCAGGGCTTGCAAACTATTACGGACTACAAAGGGAAACCCAGCAGCGAGCTGCCCAGTGACATAAACCTACCAGACGAGCTAAATGCCTTTTATGCTCGCTTCGAGGCAAGCAACACTGAAGCATGCATGAGAGCACCAGCTGTTCCGGACGACTGTGTGATTACGCTTTCCGTAGCCGATCTGAGTAAGGCCTTTAAACAGGTCAAGATTCACAAGGCCGCGGGGCCAGATGGATTACAAGGGCGTGTACTCAGAGCATGCGCGGACCAACTGGCAAGTGTCTTCACTGACATTTCCAACCTCTCCCTGACCGAGTCTGTAATACCTACATGTTTCAAGCAGACCACCATAGTCCCTGTGCCCAAGAATGCGAAGGTAACCTGCCTAAATGACTACCACCCCGTAGCACTCACATCGGGAGCCATGAAGTGCTTTGAAAGGCTAGTCATGTCTCACATCAACACCATCATCCCGGAAACCCAAGATCCACTCCAATTCACATACCGCCCCATCAGATCCACAGATGATGCAATCTCAATCGCACTCCACACTGCCCTTTCCTACCTGGACAAAAGGAACACCTACAGTTGAAGTCGGAAGTTTACATACACCTTAGCCAAATATATTTAAACTCAGTTTTCACAATTCCTGACATTTAATCCTAGTAAAAATTCCCTGTCTTAGGTCAGTTAGGATCACCACTTTATTTTAAGAATGTGAAATGTCAGAATAATAGTAGAGAGAATGATTTATTTAAGCTTTTATTACTTTCATCACATTCCCAGTGGGTCAGAAGTTTACATACACTCAATTAGTATTTGGTAACATTGCCTTTCAATTGTTTAACTTGGGTCAAATGTTTCAGGTAGCCTTCCACAAGCTTCCCACAATAAGTTGGGTGAATTTTGGCCCATTCTTCCTGACAGAGCTGGGGCCTCCTTGCTCGCACACACTTTTTCAGTTCTGCCCACAAATGTTCTATAGGATTGAGGTCAGGGCTTTGTGATGGCCACTCCAATACCTTGATTTTGTTGTCCTTAAGCCATTTGCCACAACTTTGGAAGTATGCTTGGGGTCATTGTCCATTTGGAAGACCGGTTTGCGACCAAGCTTTAACTTCCTGACTGATGTCTTGAGATGTTGCTTCAATATATCCACATAATTTTCCTTCCTCATGATGCCATCTATTTTGTGAAGTGCACCAGTCCCTCCTGCAGAAAAGCACCTCCACAGCATGATGCTGCCACCCCCGTGCTTCACGGTTGGGATGGTGTTCTTCGGCTTGCAAGCCTTACCCTTTTTCCTCCAAACATAACGATGGTCATTATGGCCAAACAGTTCTATTTTTGTTTAATCAGACCAGAGGACATTTCTCCAAAAAGTATGATCTTTGTCCCCATGTGCAGTTGCAAACCGTAGTCTGGCTTTTTTATGGCGGTTTTGGAGCAGTGGCTTCTTCCTTTCAGGTTATGTCGATATAGGACTCGTTTTACTGTGGATATAGATACTTTTGTACCTGTTTCCTCCAGCATCTTCACAAGGTCTTTGCTGTTGTTCTGGGATTGATTTGCACTTTACACACCAAAGTACGTTCATCTCTAGGAGACAGAACGGGTCTCCTTTCTGAGCGGTATGACGGCTGCGTGGTCCCATGGTGTTTATACTTGCGTACTATTGTTTGTACAGATGAACGTGGTACCTTCAGGTGTTTGGAAATTGCTCCCAAGGATGAACCAGACTTGTGGAGGTCTACAATTGTTTTTCTGAGGTCTTGTCTGATTTCTTTTGATTTTCCCATGATGTCAAGCAAAGAGGCACTGAGTTTGAAGGTAGGCCTTGAAATATATCCACAGGTACACGTCCAATTGACTCAAATGATGACAATTAGCCTTTCAGAAGCTTCTAAAGCCATGACATAATTTTCTGGAATTTTCCAAGCTGTTTAAAGTTACAGTCAACTTAGTGTATGTAAACTTCTGACCCACTGGAATTGTGATACAATGAATTATAAGTGAAATAATCTGTCTGTAAACAATTGTTGGAAAAATTACTTGTGTCATGCACAAAGTAGATGTCCTAACCGACTTGCCAAAACTATAGTTCGTTAACAATAAATTTGTGGAGTGGTTGAAAAACCTCCAACCTAAGTGTATGTAAACTTCAACTCTTTGTGAGAATGCTGTTCATTGACTACAGCTCAGTGTTCAACACCATAGTGCCCACAAAGCTCATCACTAAGCTAAGGACCCAGGGACTAAACAACTCCCTCTACAACTGGATCCTGGACTTCCTGACGGGCCACCCCCAGTTGGTAAGGGTAGGCAACAACACATCTGCCACGCTGATCCTCAACACCGGGGCCCCTCAGGCGTGCATGCTTAGTCCCCTCCTGCACTCCCTGTTCACCCACGACTGCGTGGCCAAGCACGACTCCAACACCATCATAAATTTGCTGACGACACAACAGTGGTAGGCCTGATCACCGACAACGATGAGACAGCCTAGAAAGTTGTGAAGAGGGCACAACAACGCCTTTTCCCCCTCAGGAGACTGAAAAGATTTGGCATGGGTCCCCAGATCCTCAAAACGTTATACAGCTGCACCATCGAGAGCATCCTGACCGGTTGCATCACCACCTGGTATGGCAACTGCTCGGGGCATCCGACCGTAAGGCGCTACAGAGGGTAGTGCGTACGGCCCAATATATCACTGGGGCCAAGATTCCTGCCATTTAGGACCTATATACTAGGCGGTGTCAGAGGAAAGCCCAAAAAATTGTCAAAGACTCCAGTCACCCAAGTCATAGACTGTTCTCTCTGCTACCGCATGGCAAGCGGTACCGGAGCGCCAAGTCTATGTCCAAAAGGCTCCTTAACAGCTTCTACCCCCAAGCCATAAGACTGCTGAACAATTAATAAAATGGCCACCCGGACTATTTACATTGACTCCCCAACCCTCCCACTGCTTCTACTCGCTGTTTATTATCTATGCATAGTCACTTTACCCCTACCTACATGTACAAATTACCTCGACTAACCTGTACCCCCGCACATTGACTCGGTTATGTAATCTTATTGTGTTACTTTTTATTTTATTATTTACTTTAGTTTATTTAGCAAATATTTTCTTAACTATTTCTTGAACTGCATTGTTGGTTAAGGGCTTGTAAATAAGCATTTCACGGTAAGGTCTACACCTGTTGTATTCGGCGCATGTGACAAATAAAAATTGAATTGATTTGATTTGAAATATGATTATGTTGAGTTCACGAATCCAGAACTCACATTCTTGTATTATTCTTGTATTGCTGTTTTTGTCTGACTAGTTTATATCCATGTCTGTAACCATCTGCCTGGTCATTAGGCTGTGATGCAGCTGAATGCTGGCCATGTGTTCTGTTTGTGGTCTTTCAAGTTGGTTTTTCTAAGCTCCCTAAATGAAGTCCAGATGTACTGCTAGACTGAGCTATTCTTGTGTTGTTCTTGTTTTGGCGATCTGAGAACAGTTACTGTAACCACTAACCACTGAAACCCCACTTGGGCCGGCAGCCAGCAAGTGTGTGAATAGTGGCTTTCTTTACATGGAACATGTGACAGTGTGTACGCTCTATCAGGGGAAGACAGGGGGAGGCAAGGCAGTTATGAGAGGGCTGGTGGCTTGGTGGTGGGGTGGGGGGCTTGGAGTAAAGCATTGGTCCCCAGTGTGAGTGATGTGTAGGCAGCTGCTGCTTGTGACACTGTGCGGAGTGATAGTTTTTTCTGGCCCTCTGCCCCTTTAAAGTAACTGTCCAGTGTTTCCAGATTTCTATGAAATATGACCTAAAATTACTTAGAATATGAGTGAAATCGTTTTCCTTCCAATTTAAAAAAAATAACTGTTAATAAGCAGCTTTTCTGTGTTGGAATGGTGTGGGCATAACCCAAGAAAAGAACGGTGTGGGCGTATACCGGCCAAAAAAATTATTCATGCGAGTAGACCGCTGATTGGCCAGCTCATCCTCCTCAGGAGTATGACATCATACTATATGAGGAAATAGCAAGCATTCTTTAAACAGTCTGTTTGAGATACAAGTTTGAGGTGGGATTTTCTCCAATGTATGCTTTGGCCACAAATATGAGTATAGGAAGAATCAACAACATTATTTGGATAGGAGTTAACAGAATATGAACTTTTAAAAGTTTTATTTTCACTGGACAGTTACTTTAACCCAGCCCCTGAGTGGCATTCTGGAGTCCAGAGTAGCCTAGTCTGAGGCAGCTTAGGGTGCGTGCCCCCTCCTCTCCTCATTCCTGCTCCTAACAGAGACAAGGACATTTCTGAAACTGTGCATGTGTACGTGTGTTCGTGTGTGTGTAATGGGCTCTCCTCCGGGTCGCTTTCTCAGGGCAGAGGTTTGTGGAGCCCTGCCAATGCTGGCAGTGATGTTTATGGCATGTTCTGCTACTGCTAGACGAGAAGCACACTGCCTCTCTATAGTCCCATTAAGTTAACCCTAGCAGAGGACAGAGAGAACAAAACATACTTTGACAAACAGTTCAATCTCTCACCTGTGTCTTCCAAAACCTGAAACTAGGGAACATCAAACAATAATATTTTATACATAATCTGGACGAAAAACTCTAACCAAATGAATGTATTGCCATGGAAAAACTACATGGACCACTTTTAGAGTAGGCTTACTGTTGTTTTTGCTCCTGCTCTGATAAAGCAGTGTGTTTCTGCCTGTGCTAATCTCCTAGCCCGGATTCCTGGTCATCACAGGGTTGGATGACCGGCCGACCCCAGGTGGTAAGGGTAGGCAACAACACGTCTGCCACGCTGATCCTCAACACATGGGGCCCCTCAGGGGTACGTGCTTAGTCCCCTCCTGTACTCCCTGTTCACCTACGACTGCATGGCCAAACACGATTCCAACACCATCATTTGCTGACGACATAACAGTGGTAGGCCTGATCACCGACAACGATGAGGCAGCCTATAGGGAGGAGGTCAGAGACCTGGCAGTGTGGTGCCAGGACAACAACCTCTCTCTCAATGTGAGCAAGACAAAGGAGCTGATCGTGGACTACAGGAAAAGGCAGGCCGAACAGGCCCCCATTAATATCGACGGGGCTGTAGTGGAGTGGGTCGAGAGTTTCAAGTTCCTTGGTGTCCACATCACCAACAAACTATCATGGTCCAAACACACCAAGACAGTCGTGAAAAGTGCACGACAACGCCTTTTCCCCCTCAGGAGACTGAAAATATTTGGCATGAGTCCCCAGATCCTCAATTCTATAGCTGCACCATCGAGAGCCTCCTGACCGGTTGTATCACCGCCTGGTATGGCAACTGCTCGGCATCTGACCGTGAGGCGCTACAGAGGGTAGTGCGTACGGCCCAGTACATCACTGGGGCCAAGCTTCCTGCCATCCAGGACCTATATACTAGGCGGTGTCAGAGGAAATCCCAAAAAATTGTCAAAGACTCCAGTCACCCAAGTCATAGACCGTTCTCTCTGCTACCGCACGGCAAGCGGTACCGGAGCGCCAAGTCTAGGACCAAAAGGCTCCTTAACAGCGTCTACCCCAAGCCATAAGACTGCTGAACATTTAATGAAATGGCAACCCGGACTATTTACATTGCTGTTTATTATCTATGCATAGTCACTTTACCCCTACCTACACTTTACCCCTACCTAAATTGCCTCAACTAACTTGTACCCCCGCACATTGTCTCGGTACCAGTACCCCCTGTATATAGCCTCATTATTGTTATTTTATTGTGTTACATTTAATTTATTTTATTTTATTTTTTACTTTAGTTTATTTGGTAAATATTTTCTTAACTCTTTCTTGAACTGCATTGTCAGTTAAGGGCTTGTAAGTAAGGATTTCACAGTAAGGTCTACACCTGTTGTATTCGGCGCATGTGACAAATAAAGTTTGATTTGACACACACACAGACACAAACACACACACACACAAACACACACATACGTCAGGCAGACATTACTGAAGGAGATCAAAACACAACGACACACACATACAGCTTGTCCTGTAGCAGGGCTGAAAACATCTACAGTAACAGCCATCTCTGTTATGAAGCTTAACGGCTTTATCAAAGGGCAGTTTTGTCTTGGTTGGATATCATCATGATGCGTTCATTCACTGTGAGAGGTCTCAGGAATGATTCACTTCTGCAATGAGCATGGACAGGGCATGTGCATCTCTATTGATGTCCCTCTTCATAGATCACCATTGTATGGTCCTCTTCCCTGAGTGATTGGAGCTTGCCATTGCCAGATTGCAGTGCTCCTCAGCTTTTTCTACCAGAGTCAAGCAAGTAAGGGGTTTTCTCTGAGGAACACTAAGTAAAAACTTGAACTTGAAAACAGATTAACTTATGTCAGCAATATTCAATAACAGACCTTGTCAGCAATATTCCAGGGAATTTTCAGAGTGCATGCTCTTTTAAACTCAAAGGAAGCTAGCTTCCTTTCTTTTTCATTTCCTAATTGGCAAGCATGTCTGTTCATGAAACGCTGACAGTTTTAATAGTGTTTATTTAATACTCTCCTCTCTCACTTATGTAATGAACCTTGTAATCTGTGATGTGGAAAATAATCGGCTGTCATAAAGAGTTGGCATGCCTGCTGCTCTATGGCGTCAGCCTGACAGTGCTTATTGGAATTTCTCATGACGTGCGATACGTATGGCCCTCGGCCGAGGTCAGGTGCTACAGTAACAGCAACATTATAGAGTGTTATGTGAACTGAGAGAGTGTCTGCCCATACAGAGGATATGAGAAGGGGAGGAGGAGGGGTGTAGGTAGTGCGTACGGCCCAGTACATCACTGGGGCCAAGCTTCCTGCTATCCAGGACCTCTATACCAGGCGGTGTCAGGCCCTAAAAATTGTAAAAGACTCCAGCCACCCTAGTCATAGACTGTTCTCTCTGCTACCACACGGCAAGCGGTACCGGAGCGCCAAGTCTAGGTCCAAAAGGCTTCTTAACAGCTTCTACCCCCAAGCCATAAGAGTCCTGAACAGCTAATCATGGCTACCCAGACTATTTCCATTGCCCCCCCAACCCGCCCCCATTCCCTCTTTTACGCTGCTGCTACTCTGTTTATTATCTATGCATACTCACTTTAACTCTACCCACATGTATATATTACCTCAATTACCTCGACTAACCGGTGCCCCCGCACATTGACACTGTACCGGTACCCCCTGTATATAGCCTCCCTACTGTTATTTTATTTAACTGCTGCTCTTTAATTATTTGCTATTTTTATTTTTTACTTATCTATTTTTTACTTTTATTTTCTTAAAACTGCATTGTTGGTTAAGGGCTTGTAAGTAAGCATTTCACTGTAAGGTCTACACCTGTTGTATTCGCCGCATCTGGCAAATAACATTTTATTTGAACTCCAAGTGATCATCTGTCACTGACTGTGAAGTGTGAACGCCATCTCTCTCCATGCCCAGAGTGAGCAAGTCACTGACACAGCACTGGCAAAAATATCCCATCAAAATCTGTCTGTTAAAGGTAGAGATATCTGTTTTTTTGCATGGGATGGGTCTCAATCGACCGCATCCGCTTATATCACCCTTTTGCATCTGTAGTGAAAGGTTGCAGAGCTAGAGCAGTGTTTATCAAACCATGAGACACCCCGAAAATCGGTCTTCTCACCAAAACGTCTGTAGGTTCCTAACAGTTTGGCCTACAAAGTACTATGACCACTCGATTGAAAGCTGAGACTCTCGCGAACACTATGGTGTTTTGCTCTAGGACATCGACAAGCCTCACAAGTCCCCAGTACCAATAAAAAAAATTAATGGAAGTATATATGGAGATAAAGAATTGTTTCCTGATCTTTCTTATACAGTAAGTATCTCTCAGATATAAGACAGACACTTCAGAACAAACTATCTGTTGTTCCATGTAGTGAATCTGTTGTTCAATGCGTTTCTATTGGCTAAAAGCAGTAGTGCCAAATTCAATGTTTCATCCAATAAAAATAAATAAATAAAGATCGATGCCTTAAGGGGTCTTAAAATTCCAAATCACATAGCTAAATTATCCTTGGTATGAACATCTTTAAACAATTCCATATGTTAGCTTAGACATGGGCAGTCAGAGAGGAAGAGGCGAAGCGAGAGGGATAACTGGGCCCAGAAATCTGTCTTCTCCAGCAGGTAGCGTTTTTGATGTATTTTTTTTGCTCACCAAGCGAGGAGTTTTTCTATGGCGGTCAATGAGACAGTGTCAAGATTGGTCAACAAAAAATTTAATGGCTTATTTGGTCAAATAGAAGTTCTGTAATGCTTAGGTTATTACAAGTAGGACATGTGACATCCCAGCAAATTTGAAAAAAAACACTTTATATCAGAGTTGTGCCTGTTGTTTACACGTGTAGCTGCCCTCTCATTGGCTAGAATGGTCCACCTGATCTTGCCTCCTCCCTACTGCCTTCCATCTATGAAGATTTTTTTTTCATTGTAAGAGCGGACACTATCTGGTCAATATAATGGATAATCTGTGGCGCAGTTTGAGCTACTCCAGGAAGTGACGTTGCAGGTTAGCTCAGTGCTGCCCCCTCTCATTGAGTAACTCAAATTGAAGGCCGACCTGGGTACTGCAGGCTGCCATTAGCAACTAAATTATCCTTATACAGTTGGGAGAACAAGTATTTGATACACTGCTGATTTTGCAGGTTTTCCTACTTACAAAGCATGTAGAGGTCTGTCATTTTTTATCATAGGTACACTTCAACTGTGAGAGACGGAATCTAAAACAAAAATCCAGAAAATCACATTGTATGATTTTTAAGTAATTAATTTGCATTTTATTGCATGACATAAGTATTTGATACATCAGAAAAGCAGAACTTAATATTTGGTACAGAAACCTTTGTTTGCAATTACAGAGATCATACGTTTCCTGTAGGTCTTGACCAGGTTTGCACACACTGCAGCAGGGATTTTGGCCCACTCCTGCATACAAACCTTCTCCAGATCCTTCAGGTTTCGGGGCTGTCGCTGGGCAATACGGACTTTCAGCTCCCTCCAAAGATTGTCTATTGGGTTCAGGTCTGGAGACTGGCTAGGCCACTCCAGGACCTTGAGATGCTTCTTACGGAGCCACTCCTTAGTTGCTCTGGCTGTGTGTTTTGGGTCGTTGTCATGCTGGAAGACCCAGCCACGACCCATCTTCAATGCTCTTACTGAGGGAAGGAGGTTGTTGGCCAAGATCTCGCGATACATGGCCCCATCCATCCTCCCCTCAATACGGTGCAGTCGTCCTGTCCCCTTTGCAGAAAAGCTTCCCCAAAGAATGATGTTTCCACCTCCATGCTTCACGGTTGGGATGGTGTTCTTGGGGTTGTACTCATCCTTCTTCTTACTCCAAACACGGCGAGTGGAGTTTAGACCAAAAAGCTCTGTTTTTGTCTCATCAGACAACATGACCTTCTCTCATTCCTCCTCTGGATCATCCAGAGGGTCATTGGCAAACTTCAGACGGGCCTGAACATGCGCTGGCTTGAGCAGAGGGACCTTGCGTGTGCTGCAGGATTTTAATCCATGACGGCGTAGTGCGTTACTAATGGTTTTCTTTGAGACTGTGGTCCCAGCTCTCTTCAGGTCATTGACCAGGTCCTGCCGTGTAGTTCTGGGCTGATCCCTCACCTTCCTCATGATCATTGATACCCCACGAGGTGAGATCTTGCATGGAGCCCCAGACCGAGGGTGATTGACCGTCATCTTGAACTTCTTCCATTTTCTAATAATTGCGCCAACAGTTGTTGCCTTCTCACCAAGCGGCTTGCCTATTGTCCTGTAGCCCATCCCAGCCTTGTGCAGGTCTACAATTTTATCCCTGATGTCCTTACACAGCTCTCTGGTCTTGGCCATTGTGGAGAGGTTGGAGTCTGTTTGATTGAGTGTGTGGACAGGTATCTTTTATACAGGTAACAAGTTCAAACAGGTGCAGTTAATACAGGTAATGAGTGGAGAACAGGAGGGCTTCTTAAAGAAAAACTAACAGGTCTGTGAGAGCCGGAATTCTTACTGGTTCGTAGGTGATCAAATACTTATGTCATGCAATAAAATGCTAATTACTTACTTAAAAATCATACAATGTGATTTTCTGGAATTTTGTTTTAGATTCCGTCTCTCACAGTTGAAGTGTACCTATGATAAAAAATTACAGACCTCTACATGCTTTGTAAGTAGGAAAAGCTGCAAAATCGGCAGTGTATCAAATACTTGTTCTGCCCACTGTAACTTCTTCTGGGTGCAATTTTAAAATAATTGGTTTAGAATCAATTAATGGTACCATGGTTGTCTTCAGGAAAAAATAAATCTTTACACGAAGATTGCAATTTTTCTATTCACAATCATGGGGGATCCTGTTTTCTGCTAACAATGCCTGCCTTACCATGGTCGGCCTTGAACTTCCGTGGCTTCAATGAGAGGGGGGAGTCGTTTCCCCCTGGAATTAACACACCAAAAGACATTACTCACTGACTCCAAGTAGAGTTCATAGTACGAGGTCAGATCAGTGACCGAGTCCCTGTGTATTTATACAGTTGAAGTCGGAAGTTTACATACACTTAGGTTGGCGTCATTAAAACTCATTTTTTCAACCACTCCACAAATTTCTTGTTAACTAACTATAGTTTTGGCAAGTCGGTTAGGACATCTACTTTGTGCATGACACAAGTAATTTTTCCAACAATTGTTTACAGACAGATTCTTTCACTTATAATTCACTGTATCACAATTCCAGTGGGTCAGAAGTTTACATACACTTAGTTGACTGTGCATTTAAACAGCTTGGAAAATTCCAGAAAATGATGTCATGGCTTTAGAAGCTTCTGATAGGCTAATTGACATCATTTGAGTCAATTGGAGGTGTACCTGTGGATGTATATCAAGGCCTACCTTCAAACTCAGTGCCTCTTTGCTTGACATCATGGGAAAATCAAAAGAAATCAGCCAAGACCCCAGGAAAAAAATGAAGGTACCACGTTCATTTTGTACAAACAATAGCATGCAAGTATAAACACCATGGGAGCACGCAGCCGTCATACCGCTCAGGAAGGAGACGCGTTCTGTCTCCTAGAGATGAACGTACTTTGGTGCGAAAAGTGCAAATCAATCCCAGAACAACAGCAAAGGACCTTGTGAAGATGCTGGAGGAAACAGGTACAAAAGTATCTATATCCACAGTAAAACGAGTCCTATATCGACATAACCTGAAAGGAAGAAGCCACTGCTCCAAAACCGCCATAAAAAAGCCAGACTACGGTTTGCAACTGCACATGGGGACAAAGATCGTACTTTTTGGAGAAATGTCCTCTGGTCTGATGAAACAAAAATAGAACTGTTTGGCCATAATGACCATCGTTATGTTTGGAGGAAAAAGGAGGTGGCTTGCAAGCCGAAGAACACCATCCCAACCGTGAAGCACGGGGGTGGCAGCATCATGCTGTGGGGGTGCTTTTCTGCAGGAGGGACTGGTGCACTTCACAAAATAGATGGCATCATGAGGAAGGAAAATTATGTGGATATATTGAAGCAACATCTCAAGACATCAGTCAGGACGTTAAAACTTGGTCGCAAATGGTTCTTCCAAATGGACAATGACCCCAAGCATACTTCCAAAGTTGTGGCAAAATGGCTTAAGGACAACAAAGTCAAGGTATTGGAGTGGCCATCACAAAGCCCTGACCTCAATCCTATAGAAAATGTGTGGGCAGAACTGAAAAAGCGTGTGTGAGCAAGGAGGCCTACAAACCTGACTCAGTTACACCAGCTCTGTCAGGAGGAATGGACCAAAATTCACCCAATTTATTGTGGGAAGATTGTGGAAGGCTACCCGAAACATTTGACCCAAGTTAAACAATTTAAAGGCAATGCTACAAAATACTAATTGAGTGTATGTAAACTTCTGGCCCACTGGGAATGTGATGAAATAAATAAAAGCTGAAATAAATCATTCTCTCTACTATTATTCTGACATTTCACATTCTTAAAATAAAGTGGGGATCCTAACTGACCTCAGACAGGGAATTTTTACTAGGATTAAATGTCAGGAATTGTGAAAAACAGAGTTTAATTGTATTTGGCTAAGGTGTATGTAATCTTCTGACTTCAACTGTAGCCTCCAGACAGGTCAGTTTGACTAGCTGGCTCACTCCTCCACTGCTATCCCATCACTCACCCCTGCCATGGTGGGCCTGTCCCCAGCTCCCAGAGCCCCTTGTTAGGCTGTGTGGTTACATAAGAGGCCTTGGATGTCAAAGCCTCCATTCTTTAGGATAACACATTTGGGTGGGATGACGATTGACATCTCCAGAACTGTGGGCGAGCCTAGCGATCTCACTGCTCTTTGGGCCGTTGTGCAGATTTTCCAGCCATTGTGACATTTCAGCTTCCTGGCTGCACAATATGTCATCCTCTGCATTTTGAGTGGATCTTTGGTAATAGTTGTTTTGCTGGCTGTGTGTTTTGAGGGTTTATTGAGGAATAAAAGTGTGGTGTGTAAATTACTCTTAAATTCATAACAGTGCTACTGTTGATTTTCCTAGCATTGCATTTTAGGTTCTTGGCAGAACAGTGTGTACTGACAGCTCACAGCCTCAAACCCATTTCCATAGTTACATCTTTGTGGTTTCAGTGACAAAATAAAGAAAAGTGTTTTCCTATTTGAATTTGAGTAAATGCTTTTAAGCTCAGGTAGGGTAGCTAAGATTAACGCATTAATAATGTTAGAAGAAAAAAATCAACTTCATATTCATAATCTCCACCACTACCCCAACAACATCAACAAATGTGAAAATGGCACTTTTCAATGTTTTCTAGTCAAAAAGAAAGCGTAAGATACGGTTTTCCAATGGCATCACCTGGTGTACATCATGTGATTTTAACCAATTAGTAGGCAATGCTGACTCATTTGGTTGAAATCACATGATGCACACCAGATGATGCCATTGGAAAAACATATCTTACTCTATCTTTTTGACAAAAAAACATTAAAAAGTCCCTTTAAGTAATGATTCAGTCGTTGTATCCAACTGCAACAAGGATAATCCTCTCTAACTGTGCTATTATTCGTCTTTTTACAGAAAAAACTGTGCTTGCCCCAGCAATGTTCATCTTTCAAAAGAAAACCCCATCCATGAAGGTAACCTTTATATCCTAATAATGGGTAGGCCTACAATGTTGACATGATGCTAATGCATGGTGTGGGACAAATTATGTAATGAAAGAGTATGTATCATTTCGTTACATACAAAAATAATAATTTTGTTTACAGAGAAGCGCAGAGAGATGGGAGGATGGCTCAGGTAAGCATCAGAACTTGTCGCTGCTGCATGTCATAACAATCAAACATTTTGATAGATGATTACTTTGTTACTTTCTATGGACAGTCGTGTTTATGCATCTTTTTCTTGTTCTCCAAATAGTTGTGGGAATCAGTCCAAGAAAACGAGTCAGTTCACTCACCTACCCTAACCCTAACAACAGAACCAGGAAAGGTGAGTTTCCACTGTCCGGTACACATAAGTACCGGTGCATAACACCAGACTGTCAAGGTCGAGGTAAGGAGTAGACCAAGGCGCAGCGTGATGAACAAACATGACTTTAATTAGTTAAAGCGTCAAAATACAAAACAAAACACGACTCGTGACGTCCACGGTATCAATGACCGAACACGGAACAAAAACCCACAACCACAAAGGGAAAACATACAGTTTAAATATGGCTCCCAATCAGAGACAACCAGCCAACAGCTGACACTCGTTGCCTCTGATTGGGAGTCACTCAGGCAAACATAGAATACAACAAACTAGAATGAACACCAACATAGAAATACAACCATAGAAATGAACACACCCTGGCTCAACATAATGAGTCCCAGAGCCAGGGTGTGACACAGACATAAACATTTGAGGATAATCATGAATCATAATGCCTTTTCCTCCGTTTTTCTTTTGCTCCTTTGGTAAAGGAGATGTATCTGTAAGATCTCTATTAAAATTGCACCTTTAAACTGTGTACAAATATTATGAATCATACAGTGGGGAAAAAAAGTATTTAGTCAGCCACCAATTGTGCAAGTTCTCCCACTTAAAAAGATGAGAGAGGCCTGTAATTTTCATCATAGGTACACGTCAACTATGACAGACAAAATGAGGAAAAACAATCCAGAAAATCACATTGTAGGATTTTTAATGAATTTATTTGCAAATTATGGTGGAAAATAAGTATTTGGTCAATAACAAAAGTTTCTCAATACTTTGTTATATACCCTTTGTTGGCAATGACACAGGTCAAACGTTTTCTGTAAGTCTTCACAAGGTTTTCACACACTGTTGCTGGTATTTTGGCCCATTCCTCCATGCAGATCTCCTCTAGAGCAGTGATGTTTTGGGGCTGTCGCTGGGCAACACGGACTTTCAACTCCCTCCAAAGATTTTCTATGGGGTTGAGATCTGGAGACTGGCTAGGCCACTCCAGGACCTTGAAATGCTTCTTACGAAGCCACTCCTTCGTTGCCCGGGCGGTGTGTTTGGGATCATTGTCATGCTGAAAGACCCAGCCACGTTTCATCTTCACTGCCCTTGCTGATGGAAGGAGGTTTTCACTCAAAATCTCACGATACATGGCCCCATTCATTCTTTCCTTTACATGGATCAGTCGTCCTGGTCCCTTTGTAGAAAAACAGCCCCAAAGCATGATGTTTCCACCCCCATGCTTCACAGTAGGTATGGTGTTCTTTGGATGCAACTCAGCATTCTTTGTCCTCCAAACACGACGAGTTGAGTTTTTAGTCAGCCACCAATTGTGCAAGTTCTCCCACTTAAAAAGACGAGAGAGGCCTGTAATTTTCATCATAGGTACACATCAACTATGACAGATAAATTGAGAATTTTTTTTCCAGAAAATCACATTGTAGGATTTTTTATGAATTTATTTGCAAATTATGGTAGAAAATAAGTATTTGGTCACCTACAAACAAGCAAGATTTCTGGCTCTCACAGACCTGTAACTTCTTCTTTAAGAGGCTCCTCTGTCATCCACTCGTTACCTGTATTAATGGCACCTGTTTGAACTTGTTATCAGTATAAAAGACACCTGTCCACAACCTCAAACAGTCACACTCCAAACTCCACTATGGCCAAGACCAAAGAGCTGTCAAAGGACACCAGAAACAAAATTGTAGACCTGCACCAGGCTGGGAAGACTGAATCTGCAATAGGTAAGCAGCTTGGTTTGAAGAAATCAACTGTGGGAGCAATTATTAGGAAATGGAAGACATACAAGACCACTGATAATCTCCCTCAATCTGGGGCTCCACGCAAGATCTCACCCTGTGGGGTCAAAATGATCACAAGAACGGTGAGCAAAAATCCCAGAACCACACGGGGGGACCTAGTGAATGACCTGCAGAGAGCTGGGACCAAAGTAACAAAGCCTACCATCAGTAACACACTACGCCGCCAGGGACTCAAATCCTGCAGTGCAAGACGTGTCCCCCTGCTTAAGCCAGTACATGTCCAGGCCCGTCTGAAGTTTGCTAGAGTGCATTTGGATGATCCAGAAGAGGATTGGGAGAATGTCATATGGTCAGATGAAACCAAAATAGAACTTTTTGGTAAAAACTCAACTCGTCGTGTTTGGAGGACAAAGAATGCTGAGTTGCATCCAAAGAACACCATACCTACTGTGAAGCATGGGGGTGGAAACATCATGCTTTGGGGCTGTTTTTCTGCAAAGGGACCAGGACGACTGATCCATGTAAAGGAAAGAATGAATGGGGCCATGTATCGTGAGATTTTGAGTGAAAACCTCCTTCCATCAGCAAGGGCATTGAAGATGAAACGTGGCTGGGTCTTTCAGCATGACAATGATCCCAAACACACCGCCCGGGCAACGAAGGAGTGGCTTCGTAAGAAGAATTCAAGGTCCTGGTGTGGCCTAGCCAGTCTCCAGATCTCAACCCCATAGAAAATCTTTGGAGGGAGTTGAAAGTCCGTGTTGCCCAGCGACAGCCCCAAAACATCACTGCTCTAGAGGAGATCTGCATGGAGGAATGGGCCAAAATACCAGCAACAGTGTGTGAAAACCTTGTGAAGACCTTCAGAAAACGTTTGACCTGTGTCATTGCCAACAAAGGGTATATAACAAAGTATTGAGAAACTTTTGTTATTGACCAAATACTTATTTTCCACCATAATTTGCTAATAAATTCATAAAAAATCCTACAATGTGATTTTCTGGATTTTTTTTCCTCATTTTGTCTGTCATAGTTGACGTGTACCTATGATGAAAATTACAGGCCTCTCTCATCTTTTTAAGTGGGAGAACATGCACAATTGGTGGCTGACTAAATACTTTTTTTCCCCACTGTACATGCATTATTTCATACATTGTTTCTCTCTGTGTCTCGGACAGGATCCTGTGACGGCAGTAGACGAGTGCGATCAAGTTCCCTCTCTTTTCCCCCGCCTCCTCCAGGTAAACAAAACTCCCCCCCTACACAAGATTTGTGATCTCTCTTCTCTATCCTTTTGTTTATCGTCTCTCTAAAGGGCCCTACACACTTCACGCAAACTATGAAAGTGCAGCGACAGAGCTTTGTGTGGCTTACATTTGTGGCTTACACCGTGTACAACGCTCTGTTTGCGTGATGTGTGAAGTGGCTGTCCCCTAGGGCAGGGTTCCCAAACATTTTCACACAGGGTCCCACTTCCAGCATTGGGGAACACCCCCCCCCCCCCCCCTCTATGGGCACAAGCACTGTTCATGACACGAACTGAATTTAGCAGGTTTAAAGCTTATTTCCTGCAAATATATACATTTTGCCATGTCTAATATGTTTACAAGTGATATTTGAGTGACTAAAAATTACAATAATATCTATAGGCAAAAAAAACGAAATACAAAAACGTTAGCTGACATGGGCTAGTTGATCTGGACATTTCTGACAAGTTATAAATAGCTCTCTAAGGTATGCAGTGACTAACATGACAAGAGGAACTGAGGCACTACCCAATTTCAGTTTGGGAACCACTGCCATAGGGCATACATTTCCCACGCAAATAAGTGGCAACTGAGTCACGTTGCATAATTCCTTGACTCACCTGCAGATGATTGTAGCCTTAATAAAATTGGGATCTTACTGGGATAAAACATCTTCCCATCTATTAAACGAACCGAAGCAGTGCATCATGGTCAAACTCTCTTAAAGGGTTTTCTATCTATGTTCAGTGCCAGTATTCCCTGTAGGTCCATACATTCCAGTCACACCATCCCTGTCAGGGCCTCAGATTCCCAGCAGCCACTTCACAGAAGTCCCTAGTATCTCTTTCCCTTGATCCGTTTCAGTTTCACTCTGTCACTGCAGCCCTCACCTGCTCATCACAAATCACCACCATGACCCCTTATTGCCCATGTGGAAACCTCACTGCTCAGTGTTGGCTATGCATGTTGTATGTTATGTGCCAAGTCTGGCAGTCACATTGACATAAATGTGGCTCACGTTTTAACTTTAACCATATATGATATACTGTATGTCTGTGTGTGTGTGTGTGTAAACACTTCTGATGGATCTCCTCTCCTAGTCTCAAGGTCAAATGTCTTCATGCCCTCAAATCTCTGCAACCGGACCAACATTTCCCCAAACACAGGTTAATTTGTATTCTCTGGTCTTCTGTTTATCTTTTGGTGTGCTGAACTAAAGGACCAATCATATCTGATCGTAAGACTGACTTTAAATGACATCTTTCCCTCTCACACACTCCATCTCTTTCTCTTCCTTTGTGTAGTGTCACCTCTGAACAGTGTCAGAAGGTCATTACTTCAGCCTGCACATCTCCTCACCCCTCAGCCCTGTAACATCTCCTCACAGCCACACCTATCTGAGGTATTCCACAACTCTTTTCGCCCCCCTCACACACCCTCATGTGTCAGTAACGTCCCGTGCTTCTCTCTCTTGACACGAGTCTCACACCCTGGTGTTAGGCTCATGGCTCTGTCCTCCTGAGCTGGTACCTCTGAACACTGGCATACTGGACACCCACGCAGCCCTGCAATCTGCAATGTTTGAATTTAATAATAAAATAATATGCCATTTAGCAGACGCTTTTATCCAAAGCGACTTACAGTCATGCGTGCATACATTTTTGTGTATGGGTGGTCCCGGGGATCGAACCCACTACCTTGGCGTTACAAGCGCCGTGCTCTACCAGCTGAGCTACAGAGGACCACCCAATTTCCAACTTTAATTACTGAACAAGTAATTACTTTATTGCCAGCAGTCTAAAAATGGGAGCATTGCAACACCATGTATAGTTTCGTGAAATGTTAGGCTTAACATGAGTGGTAGGATGCCAGTTTATAAACCCAAACCCCAAAACCGGTTAGAATCTGTCTCAGAATGCTGTAAGACTGAATAGCTTTCTCTCTACTCCCTAACTTGCCACATTAACACAATTATATAATACGTTTTGGCTGCAATTTATTTTATTTTCTATTTACACAAGGGTTGTGTTGAGTTCTTTGACTCAAGCGGCCATTACTGTAATTTATCAGAAATTCAATAGGACTGTAAAATAATAAAGGTTTGCATTGTATTTTGTCCCACAGGTCAGCCATGACCTTTCAGATGATTGCTGCAGCGTCCCAACTGACCGCTCCTCCACTGCGAGTGTATTACATCCGAAGACATCCCCTCAAGTTCAGAGGTATGCAGGGCACCTGGTTTAATATATAATACAGTGGGGGAAAAAAGTATTTAGTCAGCCACCAATTGTGCAAGTTCTCTCACTTAAAAAGATGAGAGAGGCCTGTAATTTTAATCATAGGTACACGTCAACTATGACAGACAAAATTAGAAAAAAAAATCCAGAAAATCACATTGTAGGATTTTTAATGAATTTATTTGCAAATTATGGTGGAAAATAAGTATTTGGTCAATAACAAAAGTTTCTCAATACTTTGTTATATACCCTTTCTTGGCAATGGCACAGGTCAAACGTTTTCTGTAAGTCTTCACAAGGTTTTCACACACTGTTGCTGGTATTTTGGCCCATTTCTCCATGCAGATCTCCTCTAGAGCAGTGATGTTTTGGGGCTGTCGCTGGGCAACACGGACTTTCAACTCCCTCCAAAGATTTTCTATGGGGTTGAGATCTGGAGACTGGCTAGGCCACTCCAGGACCTTGAAATGCTTCTTACGAAGCCACTCCTTCGTTGCCCGGGCGGTGTGTTTGGGATCATTGTCATGCTGAAAGACCCAGCCACGTTTCATCTTCAATGCCCTTGCTGATGGACGGAGGTTTTCACTCAAAATCTCACGATACATGGCCCCATTCATTCTTTCCTTTACACGGATCAGTCGTCCTGGTCCCTTTGCAGAGAAACAGCCCCAAAGCATGATGTGTCCACCCCCATGCTTCACAGTAGGTATGGTGTTCTTTGGATGCAACTCAGCATTCTTTGTCCTCCAAACACGACGAGTTGAGTTTTTACCAAAAAGTCATATTTTGGTTTCATCTGACCATATGACATTCTCCCAATCCTCTTCTGGATCATCCAAATGCACTCTAGCAAACTTCAGACGGGCCTGGACATGTACTGGCTTAAGCAGGGGGCACTGCAGGATTTGAGTCCCTGGCGGCGTAGTGTGTTACTGATGGTAGGCTTTGTTACTTTGGTCCCAGCTCTCTGCAGGTCATTCACTAGGTCCCCCCGGTGTGGTTCTGGGATTTTTGCTCACCATTCTTGTGATCATTTTGACCCCACGGTGTGAGATCTTGCGTGGAGCACCAGATCGAGGGAGATTATCAGTGGTCTTGTATGTCTTCCATTTCCTAACAATTGCTCCCACAGTTGATTTCTTCAAACCAAGCTGCTTACCTATTGCAGATTCAGTCTTCCCAGCCTGGTGCAGGTCTACAATTTTGTTTCTGGTGTCCTTTGAAAGCTCTTTCGTCTTGGCCATAGTGGAGTTCGGAGTGTGACTGTTTGAGGTTGTGGACAGGTGTCTTTTATACTGATAACAAGTTTAAACAGGTGCCATTAATACAGGTAACGAGTGGAGGACAGAGGATCCTCTTAAAGAAGAAGTTACAGGTCTGTGAGAGCCAGAAATCTTGCTTGTTTGTAGGTGACCAAATACTTATTTTCCACCATAATTTGCAAATAAATTCATAAAAAATCCTACAATGTGATTTTCTGGATATTTTTTCCTCAATTTGTCTGTCATAGTTGACGTGTACCTATGATGAAAATTACAGGCCTCTCTCATCTTTTTAAGTGGGAGAACTTGCACAATTGGTGGCTGACTAAATACTTTTTTTCCCCACTGTATTAGGGATGTTTCACTGAAGTGATTTTATAGATGTATTTATGGCAGGGTTTAGTTAGTTAAATCAGGGTGGTTAGGGTTACAAGTTTAGTTAGTTAAATCAGGGTGGTTAGGGTTACGAGTTAACTTCCAGTCCAGACCCAGGACTGGACAGCCTTGCTTTAATCTAGAGACCCTGACAGGGTGGTGTTGGGTTTTGTTTCCTCTGCCAGAGCTATGTGGGGTCAGAGACATGGTTTAGTTCCCAGCAGTGATTCTGCTGACCTCTCTGTTGACCTCTGGTTCCCCCTCCACAGATCGAAGGCAGACAGTATTACCTCAGACCGGCTCCAGTTTGTATTTGGGGAAAACATGAGCGCAAGAGTTTTGGTGAGTTCAGGAAACTTTTACTTAAGAACCAATGACATACTTATAAAGTAGCAAGTTTGCATATGATGACTATAACAAATATATTATGTATCACACATGAGTTTAACTGTGTTACAAAATACATAGCATTTACAGAAATACTCGAATTTTCTCGCCCTCATATAGAGACCCCATAAATTGCCCAGCAGTGAACATTCTGATTGCAGCTCTTCTAATTCTGAGTCCTCCACCTTTGAGTCAAGTCATAAAGGTAAATCATTAGGGGCCTCATTGTGTATTTGCATGGGTACACATCTCCAATCCTCAAGGGCTACGGTGTCTACTGGTTTATTGGTCCACCAGACTACGGCCCTAGAGGACTAGAGTTGTGCACCTCGGTTTTAATAGCAATTGACTGCCTCTTAGTGTATGCCTTTCAGAACTGCAGCTGAAGTGCTGTCTGTGTTTGCTGACAGGTGCTGTGTGGAGCAGTCTGAGGGAGTCTGCTGCAGCTTACACAGCGTCCTGTGGGAGGCAGCGTGTGCTCAGGCGGGTTCAGGTGTTCACTGGGGAGGAGAAGGAGAGCAATGTGGTCCAGGTGAGGACATGTTATGTTGAAATAGGAAATGTTCAATATGCCTTCTCATATTGCTAGAGCGGTGATAGTGATGTACCTTTTTAAATACCTTTTTTCTTTTAGCTGACCTGCAGACTGTTTGTCCTGGAAAAGGGAACTCAGGCATGGACTGAGCGAGGGAGAGGAGTCCTGCGACTCAATGATCTAACATCAGGGACCAAAGGAGGGCTGCAGTCCAGGATAGGTTAGTTTACCATGAAGGAGACTACTATTCCCCTCACTCTGACCAACATCCACACGTCTTTCTGTGATTCTTTCTCATCCTCAGTATATCTCATATTTCTGTCACACCTGCCTCCCTCTGATCAAAACAGTGATGAGGCACCAGGGCAGTCTCAAGGTCATTCTCAACACTAAGCTCTGGCCACACACACACCTGCGTCGCCCCGCCCGTCGGAACCTCCAGGTGACGGCCACCGACGTGGAGACTCAGGCAGTCCGGGTGTTCCTCGTCCAGGCCAGCGCCAGGGACGTGGCTCGCCTCTACGTAGCCATACACCATCGGCTGGTAGCACTACGGGCCAGTGTTGCTGAGAGGGAGGCAGGGGCTGCAGTGGGCAGGACCAGGGAGGGACACCGCAACAGTGAGAATGAGGAAGAGGAGGAGCAGGAAGAGCAGAGACAACGGCAAGAAAGAGAAGGGCTGCTAGTGACACGATTGCGACCTGGTAAGAGTGAGTAGAAACAGGGATAAAGATGTACTCTAACATACAGTTATCTGAGATTATCCCTTGCTCTTTCATCCACTCACTTGTATAGCTATGACTAAATCCAATGTTTAGCTCATTGTGTTAAAAAAACATGGGTTTGGAAATTGTTTGCATAGTTTGAGTAAGGAAAAACTCGTCCTCCAGTGCATGTCACTAATCCCCAGTCCATGTTCCAGAGGGAGGGAGCTGTTAGCAGGTGGTAGTCTCTCACAGACCCCACATAAAACAGAGTAACAGATGGATCCCCCATCATGGTGGATTACATTCCTTAAAGTCCCAGGCCTACAAAATATTAGCTATTTTTTTTAAACCATTATGAAAAAGAGAAGAGAACACTAGAGAAGAGAACTACGTCTTGCTGTTTATTCAAAACAATAGTCCACTTGTTATTCCTTGCAACAACTTCTCCTTCAGCCTCTTTGAACTTGCATGTCAACAAGACGCCTAAAGATTAAGCTAAAATTAGCCCCATATAACCTACCCCTGCATTCCAGTGGTGGGCAATTTATGTCCTCTGGAGCAACAACATATGTGCTGTCCCTGTAAAAACTCAGTAGAGACCTACATGACATGAAAATGCATCCTGAACCCCTAACATTTCCTCATTGTGCATTTACCTGAGAAAACATAGAGCTACTGTGTTAAAATTACAGTTTATTTCACTTACACACCTGTTATAATCTGTCTGTCTCTCTCCTTTGCAGTGGTTTGTGATTGGATACACAGTAAACCCAGTTCGGATTCTTGGTGACATTACATTATATCCTGACCTGGACCATGCAACAGTTTGTGGAGTCATCACATCTGAACAGAACTTTTAGCCATCATGGAACAGTGGGACAAAACATCAAGAGACAGCTTTCAAAAATGCCTTTTGCCAAAGGAAGATACAGTACATGACCAAAGGTATGTGGACACCTGCTCGTCGAACATCTCATTCCAAAATCATGGGCATTGATATGGAGTTGGTCCCCCTTTGCTGCTATAACAGCCTCCACACTTCTGGGAAGACTTTCCACTAGATGTTGGAACATTGCTGCGGGGACTTGCTTCCATTCAGCCACAAGAGCATTAGTGAGGTCGGGCACTAATGTTGGGCGATTACGCCTGGCTCGCAATCAGTGTTCCAATTCTTCCCAAAGGTGTTGGGTGGGGTTGAGGTCAGGGCTTTTTGCAGGCCAGTCAAGTTTTTCCACACCGAACTCGGCGAACCATTCTGTATGGACCTTGCTTTGTGCACGGGGGCATTATCATGCTGAAACAGGAAAGGACCTTCCCCAAACTGTTGCCACTAAGTTGGAAGCACAGAATGGTCTAGAATGTCATTGTATGCTGTAGCGTTAAGATTTTCCTTCACTGGAACTAAGGGGCCTAGCCCGTATCATGAAAAACAGCCCCAGAACAATATTCCTCCTCCACCAAACTTTACAGTTGGCACTATGCATTCCGGCAAGTAGCGTTCTCCTGGCATCCGCCAAAGCCAGATTCGTCCGTCGGACTGCCAGATGGTGAAGCGTGATTCATCACTCCAGAGAATGCGTTTCCACTGCTCCAGAATCCAATGGCAGCGAGCTTTACACCACTCCAACCAACGCTTGGCATTGCGCATGGTGATCTTAGGCTTGTGTGTGGCAGCTCGGCCATGGAAACCCATTTCATGAAGCTCCCGATGAACAGTTCTTGTGCTGACGTTGCTTCCAGAGGCAGTTTGGAACTCGGTAGTGAGTGTTGCAACCGAGGACGATGCCGTTCAGCGGTCCCGTTCTGTGAGCTTGTGTGGCCTACCACTTCACGGCTGAGCCGTTGTTACTCCTAGACCAGGGTTCCCCAACTGGCGGGTGGTTTTATTTGGCCCTCCAAGTTTTCTGAGCCCAAAGAAAAAACATTTAAAAAATATACAGACATTTTAAAATTAATTTAAAATTCATTGTTGGAAATAAAAGACTGTAAAAACACCAGGAAATCAGCTCCAATTGATTTCAATTTTGGAAATCTGTTCCCAAGTATTCCTACGCGTAATATAGAGACAAATGTAAGCAAGGCTTGAAATTATTGTTTTAGTCAAATATTATATATGTTTGGGATTCTTGCGATCAATTTGCAGTCTACAATTGATCTGTAATCATGACCTGGCCCCCCGACCATCTGCTCCAGAAAACATTGGCCCGCGGCTGAATCTAGTTGATGTTCCCTGTCCTATACGTTTCCACTTCACAATAACAGCACTTACAGTTGACAGGGCAGCTCTAGAAGGGAAGAAATGTGATGAACTGACTTGCTGGAAAGGTGGCATCCTATGACGGTGCCATGTTGAAAGTCTCTGAAATCTTCAGTAAGGCCATTCTACTGCCAATGTTTGTCTATGGAGATTGCATGGCTGTGTGCTTGATTGTATACACCTGTCAGCAATGGGTGTGGCTGAAATAACCGAATCCACATATGTGAAGGGGTGTCCTCATACTTTTGTATATATAGTGTACCTTTGTGTTTTCATGTGTTGACAGATAATTATATTGCTGTACTTAGTTTTATACTTTATCTAATTGTGGCAGTGTGCAAGGGGAGGGTATATTGCCACATTATGACAGAGGGAACCTAGATGTAATGACTGATTTAAAAACGTTTTTTTATGTGGTTATTTTATTATGCATTTACAATGAATCCACATGTTCATGCAAGTGCTATTTGTGGCTGAGGCACCCACATTAAACTTACTGGAAACCTATTTGGAATATTTCAAAAATATTTTGTCCTTCTATATCTATTTTTGAAAAACTGTTAAACTATTTTTAGGTCTTTCACTACAAATAAAATAGAATATGTCTCTACTTATTTCAGCTGTGAAACAAACAAAATAGCTGTTTTGTTAGCTATTTCATTTATACAGTACCTTATTGGCATAAACAACAATCACAAGGCTGTGTGATACACTTACCTTTCTGCACAGTACTAAATGCATTTTTCTGCGTACCTCTATTTGCTGCAAATTTGAGTTAACATTTCAATGTTTTTAATGGATTTTAAGTTCTGATACCCAGTGTATTGTCATCAGAAATTTACTTAAGGGTCATGTGAATAAAAGCAAACATGACAAGCATCTAGTTCATATATTTTGATTTGTATACAGTGCATTTGGAAAGTATTCAGACCCTTTCGCGTTTTCCACAATATGTTATGTTACCGCCTTATTCTAAAATGGATTAAATTGTTTTTTCCCCCTCATTAATCTACACACAATACCCCATTATGAAAAAGCAAAAACAGATTTTAGAATTTTTTGCACATTTATTAAGAATAAAAAACAGATATCATATTTACATAAGTATTCAGACCAATTACTCAGTACTTTGTTGAAGCACCTTTGGCAGCTATTACAGCCTCAAGTCTTCTTGGGTATGACGCTACAAGCTTGGCACACATGTATTTGGGGAGTTTCTCCCATTCTTCTCTGCAGATCCTCTCAAGCTCGGTCAGGTTGGATGGGGAGCGTCGCTGCACAGCTATTTTCAGGTCTCTACAGAGATGTTCGATCGGGTTCAAGTCCGGGCTCTGGCTGGGCCACTCAAGGATATTCAGAGACCCGAAGCCACTCCTGCGTTGTCTTGGCTGTGTGCTTAGGGTCATTGTCCTGTTGGAAGGTGAACCTTCGCCCCAGTCTGAGGTCCTGACCACTGGAGGAGGTTTTCATCAAGGATCTCTCTTTACTTTGCTCCGTTCATCTTTCCCTTGATCCTGGATGGTCTCCCAGTCCCTGCCACTGATGATGCTGCCACCAACATGCTTCACCGTAGGGATGGTGCCAGGTTTCCTCCAGACGTGATGCTTGGCATTCAGGCCAAAGAGTACAATCTTGGTTTCATCAGACCAGAGAATCTTGTTTCTCATGGTCTGAGAGTCCTTTAGGTGCCTTTTGGCAAACTCCAAGCGGGAGGTCATGTGCCTTTTACTGAGGAGTAGCTTCCGTCTGGCCACTCTACCATAAAGGCCTTATTGGTGGAGTGCTGCAGAGATGGTTGTCTTTCTGGAAGGTTCTCCCATCTCCACAGAGGAACTCTGTCAGAGTGACCATCAGGTTCTTTGTCACCTCCCTGACCAAGGCCTTTCTCCCCGGATTGCTCAGTTTGGCCGGGCAGCCAGCTCTAGGAAGAGTCTTGGTGGTTCCAAACTTCTTCCATTTAAGAATGATGGAGGCCACTGTGTTCTTGGGGACCTTCAGTGCCGCATAAATGTTTTGGGGACCTTCAGTGCTGCAGAAATGTTTTGGTACCCTTCCCCAGATCTGTGCCTCGACACAATCCTGTATCGGAGCTCTACGGACAATTCCTTCGACCTCATGGCTTGGTGTTTGCTCTGACATGCACTGTCTTATATAGACAGGTGTGTGCCTTTCCAAATCATAATAATAATATGCCATTTAGCAGACGCTTTTATCCAAAGCGACTTACAGTCATGTGTGCATAAAATTTTTTTAACGTATGGGTGGTCCCAGGGATCGAACCCACTACCCTGGCATTACAAGCGCCATGCTCTACCAATTGAGCTACAGAGGACCACAATCATGTCCAATCAATTGAATTTACCACAAGTGGACTCCAATCAAGTTGTAGAAACATCTCAAGGATGATCAATGGAAACAGGATGCACCTGAGCTCAATTTTGAGTCTCATAGCAAAGGGTATGAATACTTATGTAAATAAGGTATTTCTGTTTTAGATTTTTTATAAATTAGCAAACATTTCTAAAAGCCTGTTTTCACTTTGTCATTATGGGGTATTGTGTGTAGATAGACGAAAAACATTGATTTAATACATTTTAGAATAAGGCTGTAACGTAACAAAATGTGGAAAATGGGAAGGGGTCTGAATACTTTCCAAATGCGCTGTACATATAGTCATTGAACACTGGTCACTTTAATAATGTTTATAACACCAACAACAGCTTGGAAAATTCCAGAAAATGATGTCATGGCTTT